CTGTTGGTAAAAAAAAAAAAGTTTTTCAATAACCCCCCTCCACCTTATCCTCGGTCATATCTGGTGTTCTTCTCAATGAAATCCTCGAAATCAATGAACTTTTTTTATAAATTATTCCACGTACCTTTCACAACAAGCGTTTAGGTCTCCGACTTCAGTCTTCACAATATCCAAAGTTTGCATAAAAGAAGACAAATGCACACACCCAAGAGAGACTGGATGAGCCCTGGAGGAATCAATCAAATGAATCGTTGAACCTGGAGCCTTATCGGACTCGCATTTGATAGGACTTGGAGGTTGGGATCTGCAATGCAGAGCACAGGATGACTCACCCATGCCTCTTTCAAGGCTTGGAACGCAGTCTCACATCTCTCACACCACACATAGGCAACATTCTTACTTGTTAGTCTTGAGAGTGGGTGCGCAATGACAGAAAATTTGGGCACAAACTTCCGGTAATATGAGGCCAAACCAAGGAAAGAACGCAGCTCGCATACATTCGCTGGTTGAGGCCACTTTCGGATGACCTCAACCTTGGTTGCCTCCGGCTCAAGGCCGTTTGCAGACAACCGGTGCCCACAACTTGTTGGTGCAACCGGTTACAACAACCGGTTAAGGAATCAAGTTGCAGCAACCGCCGACCGACAGAATAGACTGGTTACGACATTCGAGCGGAGCAAACACACAGACACAGACAAGTGCATACATACATACACACATAGAGCACATACACACACTTGTCTAGCCATGGAGTGATGAAAATGAAGATGACATGAATGAGTCATTTGAGATGAATAGTATTAGTGTCAGTGCTTTGCCTTATACCCTTGACCCTGGTTAGGTTGAGCGTTTGTGGTCGAGGCCGTCACTACGCGGTCATGCTATGCCTCAAGTGTCAGCGGCGCGTCTTTGGCTGTGACAAACATTTTTGTGTTTTGTGGGTATTTTGCTGGCTCATGATGGAGTGTGAACCGACAGTCTGTAGAGTTTTTCATTTGGTATGGGTGAGTGATAGTTTGTTTTGATTTTCATTAACAGGTAGCTTGAGGGCAGTGGTTGGTGCCCACCTCAAGGTATCCGTTGTTGGGCAGTTGTTGATGCTTAACCACAACTGGGTTAAGATGGATTATAACTTACAGTATAATCAGTTAAGGAACTTTACAGATTGTTGAGGGTCTAACCTCTTGATGGATGATGGATCTGGCCCTAGCAAACAAGTATCAACTACATGAGGACCTGCTCACGATTGAGAATGGGGCGCAACAGGTGGAAAAATACAAAAAATTGGTATGCAAGGTACATCTCTTAGCTAACACACTGCTTCAGGATGAGTTGGCTAGGACTGCGGGACAAAATCAGGAAGGGGGTGATAATGTGATCCACGAAGGAGAAAATGACGACTTTGAGGAAGGAGAGGTTAAAGAAGCTTTCCGGCCAGAGGAGTATGATGGAGTTTATCTCGAGCTCGGGATGCTTCTTTCATGCGAGATGAGGGAAAGGGATGCTAGCGAGAGAGTTCTAAAAATGAGGTCAGACTTTCTAGTAAGGGATGACCATCTATTCATAAGAAGCAAAGGGAGAATTCCCAGAAGAGTAGTCAACGGCGTCACTTGTCAGATTGACATCATAGCTGCCCTACATGATGGTACGACAGGGGGTCATAGGAGCACAGACACGACATACCTCAAGATACACGAACTGTACTATTGGGATGGCATGGGACAAATGATCAACGACTACTGTAAATCTTGTGTACCATGCCAGGCGCGATCCTCTCTCAAACCTAGGGAGCCACTTCACCCAAGGCATGTTCGTGAGGTTGGAGCAGTCCTACAACTGGATCTGTTGGCCATTCCGCTAGGAATAAGAAGCTATAATTTTATCTTCGATGCGTGGGATAATCTCTCCGGTTCTGTAGATGGTTGGGCCATTCGCACAAAGACTGGTGAGACGTTGGCTCGATGCATCGAAGAGTATTATCTTCGTTACCCATTTGTCTCTAGATTTGTGATGGATAGGGGGTCCGAATTCACCTGTACAGAAGTAAAGGCACTTTTAACTGCGGTGCACCCTCAAGCTAATGCACCTGTGGAGAGAGGACATAGTACCATCACGAATCTTCTCGCCAAGTGGACTAGTGGCAAGCCCAATGAGTGGCCAGACTTCCTAAGGGTCACTTTTTTCGTGGATAACATCACTGTCAGAAGGATCACCGGCCACGTTGTGGTATGCTAGGCATGCGACGTTCCCTATTGAAAGCTTCCTAAAGACTTGGAGGCGGCAGGACCTCGAGACGAATCTGACCTTTGAGGAATTGCTTGATCTAAGGGTACGTCAGATTGACGCCATAGAGGACAAAATTGAAGAGGCGGCAAGTAGGGTGGCGGACAGTCGTACCAAGGATAAGTTCAGGTGGGATAAGATGGCAAGGGTAAGGAAAGAGCCTTTCAAGGTGGGAGACATTGTGTTCCTATACTACTCATCCTTGGAGAAGCAGTGGTCGCGGAAGTTGGACAAGAGGTGGCGGGGACCATACAGGTTCACAAGGAGTGGTGAGCATGGAGCCTACCAAATTGAGGAGATAAATAGGACGGCTTGGAAAGACTGGGTGTCAGGCTCGAGGTTAAAGAAGTTCGTCGCTCGAGAGGAGGTGAGCATGGATCTCACCAGTTAGAGTCACCCTTTTGAGTACTTACATAGGGATATTAGTATAAGTAAATTTTATAGGATGTTATTCTCAGCAGAATGGTATGATGGGTTACAGCATTGGGGTAGACTCATATATATATATACACATATGTAGATAGTTGGGGGAGGGTTATGTCTATCTCTTGCTGTGTTTTGACCAAACCTGCTTACCCTCTGTATGCTCATGTTTCTCTCTTCCTTGTTGTGCAGGCTTGACACCATTTGGGGCAGCCATACCAAGAGGGAGGGGAGGGGCAGGACCAGTGGAAAACCCTTTGGGGGTGACCAGACAGAGGGCGCAAACGACGACCAGGAGAGAGGACAGACCTCCACTTTTCCAGGGAGGGAACATTGAGTTGTTCCTGATTGAGTTCGAGAGGCATGCGCATGAGTTTGGATGAGATGGAACCAGGATGTTGAGGGAGGTGCGAGGCGTAGGCGAGTGAATAGACCCCATTGCCAACTTTGTCAGGAAGTCACTAACCTGGCAGGATTTTGAAAGGAGGATGGAGGGCTTGCACCCGTCGCCAGTGGGGAGAGATGGACAGCCCGTTCGATTTGACTCCACTAATTTGGGGGAGTTCCTATGGGCCTATGATCGATATGCAGATGACCTCAATGTTCCAGGGGAGCAGAGGATGGTGAGCTTCCTTATGTACGTAAGGCGGCACATTAGATCCTTTGTCAGATCTATCGTGGCACCTTCTATGAATTGGGAACATTGGAAGAAGTTGCTGTGGGATTACTATACTCCAGCACGTCAGGCAGGTGAAAGAAGGAGTCTGGAGAAGAGAAGGAGGGAGACAGAGACAGCTGAAAGGAGGACCTTTGAGCAGGGCATGTCATCAGGGACTTAGAGGGAAGAAAGGAGAAAGGAGCACAGATCCCAAAGACACGAAAGAGGAGGGTCAGGTGGTCCAGGTATGCCTCCACAGCCTACTCAGATAGCTGTGGACTGCCCTATGTCAGATATAGAACCAGACTCACCCCATGAGCCACGGATGCAGGAGCGCAAGGAGGACCAGGCTGACGAGGAAAAAGAGCTGGACAGAATTCAGACAACATCTAGAGAAAAGGAGATTAAAGTCCAGCTCAGGTTGAAGAACTTGGCAGAGTTGAATGAGAAGATGCACCAGGGAGAGCAGCCTGAGGAAGTGGAGGACAAAAGTGGTAAGAGCGTTTGCACTCAGAAGGGAGATCTTCCCCTATTTTCAGAAGTTTGGGTCAGCTTTGACAAGTTGATGGAGGCTGCAGGGAGGTCTAGAGAGCATCATGAGGAGATGGGGATTAAGTTAGTCTCTACGGACTTACTTAACCTAAAGGGCCTTTTGAAGAAGGGCTTTGCAGCAGCCAAGGCTTCGGCTCAGAAGGTTGGGGAAAGATTGACGAAGGTGGCTCAAAAAGTATATGGCCAGAGGGTGGATTGGGAAAGAGAGGTTGAAGGTTTGAAGAAGGAGTTGGGAAGGCAGAGTAAGGAGATGGATGCAGCGAAAGTAGACATGATGGAAATCAGGGCTGAGAATGAAGCTATCAAGCATGTCAACCAGATCCTCAATAAGGTCAATGACGTTCTGAGGGTCTATTTGCAGGCACAACAGGTTTCCTTCCAAGCGATGAAGGCTGAGTGGGAAAAGAGGATAAAGGACTTGGAAGCCAAGTGTGCACAGCAGGCTCCTATTGCAGTAGTGGATTGGACAGAGGTCCAGGGGTTTGAGATCAGGAGACGACCTACAGAAAAAACCTTCAAAAGCCAGAAGAAAGAAAAGAAGGCGGACCTGCAAGAGGGTGAGGAGGTTCCCCTGATAGATAAAGAGATGTTGAATCCACATGAGGAACTAGTTGGGAAGGACACAGAAGGTGGAGAGTTTAAATGGAGGATGCCCGCTGACCTAACACTTGGACAGGAGCCAGCGAAGCCAAAGGAGAGGTCACCCGCTGAGGCCATGAGGATTGAAGTAGTTCCACCTATAACTAAGGGAGAGACCGTGGGACAACAGGAGGTTCAGGAGAGTGTGGGTCAGACCATGGTGGAGGCCGAGCTGAGAGTGGATCCGAGGGGCTGCCAGGGGTCCACCATACCTCAGGATATGCCTCTTGTTGCAGATCTGCGGGACGCATTGGGGTCTTGGGCCACTGACTCTGGACCAGAGGGACGAGTTAGTGAGCAGGTGACGCGGACAGATGGCAGAGCAGCATGTCCCACTTCCCCGAAGGTCCCACAACAGGAGGTCACGAGTAAGGTTACAGCAACTCCGTCATCTGTACCCTCGCAGGAAGGAGACAAGATGTCCCAGAAGAAGATTGGCAAATGTTTCTACTGCAAGAAGGGCAAACACCGATCTTTCGACTGCCCCAAGAGTCTCAAAGATGAGGCAAATGGTTTGGCCGTCAGAGAGTCATCTGGAGTGTGGAGAGATAGGAATGAAATTTTGGTTCCTAAGACTCGTGATGGGGCAAGGGCACAGTTGTATAGGCAGCTGCAGGAGGTCATGAGTGATCGGGAATGAGGTTCTTTAATAAGGTCCGGAAAAGTCTAGGTCTAGCATACGCAAGACATCTCCGACTCTTTGACTGATGATTGCTTATACATAGAGAGATACATGGAGGATTGGATCAGACCCATGTATGTCAGTAAGTTGAGCCAGTAGTAAGATGTTTACCTTCGCATTATAGACTTTTCAGGTTAGTTGTACATAAGATAACACTGAGTATGATTCTGACTATTTTTTTTTTCCTTTTCGCTTTCTTTAGTGTGATGAGGAATGTTTTTTTTGTAATGCTTTTGTGTAAGCTGTGATTCCTTCATGTGTGAGTGGTATGAGGTGTGGAGTGACGGTCGATTTCGGATACCTTGACACTTGATCGATACTTGATTCTTGTTGGATACTGTGATGCCTTGTTGGATATTTGGACTCTTTGTACAATACTTTGACCACATTCTGTATGCATGTGCGAGTCTCAGACCTATCTTTTTTTTTGTGCGGTGTGTTATACTCACTCTCAGTTGTTGACCTGCCCATATGGATGTTGGTGTGATGAAGATGAACATTGTGAAGTAAACTAATCTGCACATTCTTCCGTTGTACTTGCACATCCTTGTCCCAATGACAAGTGAAAACCAAAGTACAGTGGGAGAGAGTGCCTTGTGATGTACTTTGCAAAGGATTTATATGATGGTGAATGGAAAGGTCACAACCAAAGTTGTGTCTTCTGTATGATTTAGAAAAGAGAGAGGGAAGCCCAATGGCCAATTGGACTTTCTTAAAAGGATGAAATTTGTGAGAGTACTCGAAAGAGATGCTGTAATGATGAGATATTTTTGTATGTATGTAAGTTTGACGAGGAAAGGCCAAAACTTTTGTGAGAATTATGGATGGAAACTTCTGGCAATTATGATGGAACTTTGGAAGACACTTTGAAAGATGTCCCTAAAAGACGTGTGACCTTACCTACTCTGATTAAAGTAAGGGAGACACGACCTTGTGGATTTACTGAGGAAATTGGTGGAGTGTTGAAGAAGGCGCTATCCCTCCATGTAGTCCCGTGGGCAGTTGGTATATGATCCTTTGATTATTCTAAAGGATTTTTGAAAGAAAGTGTCAGACCACAATGAAGTCAGTCTAAGGGACATATTTTGTGAGGCCAAGCTAAGGGGGCTATACTTAGCATCGTTGGAACTATAGAACCTAACTCCCAGCGAGGGGGGCTGACCGACACAACCTGGCAGCGGGACCATGGCTTACCAAAGGTTAAGTCTTCAAGGGTCGGCCGCCTGGAGAGGCTTAGCTAGAGGCAAAGTCATTGGGGTCGATTAAGTCAAGAGTCGGGACCCTTCAGGGTGCCAAGATAGGAAAAACTGCTTATCGTTGCGCAACCAACGAGGGCACCATTGCTATATAACAACGTGGTGGGCCGTGGATTCGGCGTGATCGACCGTTCCGCGGTGGGCCAAGATGGAGACCTAAAGGCTAAAGCCACCTGTGTTAGACTTCATGATGGACGTTCATTATGATTGGATATTCGAGGTGGTAGGCATTACCATTTGGGGACTAAAGGTACCCCGTATTTAAAAGAGGTCTCAGTTAGGGCCCGCATCCTAAGTTTTGACCCCATACGTGGGACGATGACTAAACAGGACACCCGACGATGAGTCGGCAGATGTCTACGACAAAGGGAAAGGGCTACCAACCTACTACCTGGAAGCAAGTATTACGTTGTAGTACGCAACAAAGTATCCCCTAACTCCGAGGTCGGAACGTGGGAGACCCAGGTTGAAACCCTGGCAGTGGAACGCCGTGACAGGAGAAGATTGATAAGAATACCTCAAACAGAGTCGAGCCCGCCAATCGGATTGGTTACTTCCTCGTCAGCAGATGTGGTTATGTTTATAGTTTTGATTGTTCGACGCGACAGGGATGTCGCTTAATAAGGTTCGGAAAACTGTCGGCCCGATTACCTTTACAAGGGTATTTGAGCACATTTTTGCAGCTTACAAGAGGTACGTTCCTTGACGACATCAGGGAGCGTGCCTCATTTTTGTGCGACCACAACCGATTCTCAGGGATTGGGAGTGACACGCGTCTTTGAATTGATTAGAGAGTGTGTGAGCGTGCACTTTGTGGGCACGCGTTAGCTTGACCGAACAATTGACCAATATAAGCTATGAGATGCCGGTAGAGCAAGTAAGTGCTAGGTTAGAATCTGGGATAAAGTCGCAACCTTGCACACACGGGCGCAGTTACGGGCGGCGTAAAGTTGACCAGGTAAGGCTGTGACTAGAGAAGGATGTTGTCTGACTTACTAGAGACCGACGTTTCAGGGCCGCACCGTGTGAAGTTACGCAGGCTCTAGGTTGACCGTGCGCCATCAGAAGTAGAAGTCGCCGCCAAAGCCAAGTAAGGATGGCGCGAACTAAGGTGAGGGCCAAGTTTTTCCGAGGTGGAGACGATAAAAAGGGCAGCCTTTCAGAGAAAGAGGCAGCGTGGGGAAGCCTCAGCGGTTGGCTGTGACAATGCGGACTATGCGCACGGCGGACCGAGTAAAAGCCTACCCCAAGCTAACATAGCACGCGTGCGGGGTCATGGTTCTAAAGGATGGACCAAGCAGCAGCCTCGTTGCACTTTTTTTAGGCCCAGACAGGCTACAGTTACTCTTTATATAGAGAGCTCCACCTGCTACAACCAGGCTTGGGCTTAACCCTATTGGTTACAACACTAAACTTTCAACCTACGGATCCCGGGATCGAAGCCAGCAGCCAGAATGGGAGGAGCGGAGGAGCGCTACAGTGCAAACTTAGGGGTTGAGGGTCCCGCGGGACTATCCCCCTTAGTTTTGCTGGGGGATCCGACCGCAGGCCGGCGAAGCAGGGCCGAGGACCAAGTATCATCTGTTCTCCGCCCCTATCTGTTTTTCTAATTCTTATTTCAAAATTTTATTAATATTTTTATTTTTATTTTATTCTTTATTTCTAGTCCCACTTGGGACAAGGTCCGGCACCGGTCTTCGGGACCGGCCGTGATCCAAGAACCTAGCCCTGTGGATACACCTAGGAACTGTTGAAATACAGACCCGAGTTCGAATCCCGATGGTAGAGCTTCATTGATGAGCAGAACCGAGTACTTCTCAACTGCCTGGGCCCGGACATCTCAACGGCAGTCTCTCAGGGCCAATACAGAGTGTAGTCCTTCGGGACATCCGTTAAAATTGGAACGATGTCGAGGAGGCTGGCCAGGTGCCGCATGGGTGGGCATCTACCCAGTTTTTCTCCTTAGTTAGAGCATTCGAACGACATGAGGTAGTTTGACTCCACCCAATTTTTATATAAGACTGTCGAAGGCACTAAAGCTACTACATAGTGAGTTGAAGAGCGGAGGGAAAGCAAGAAGAGAGGAGAGAGGGAAGAAAAGTGGGGAGGAAACAAGGATGGCGGGGTGAGAACTCGGACGCAGAAGGGGAGTGGGAGCGCAACCAATTGGGGAGGGATCCGTGGGAAGAGGGAGAAAACCGGGCGCGACGCTGATTTCGGAAGGGAGAGGCCGACGGGAGTGTTGGAAACGGCGGAGTGAATCCGGCTCGAAACCACGGCAGATGCATGCACGTCGAGGGGACGACCGATGGCGAAATTAAAGCGGGGCGCAGTCAAATGGGGGGTAACGCACTCGATTCCTAATGGAATCGAGCTGGAGAAGAGTCGAAATCGGGAGTTTGAAGGGCTGCGAAATGAGTAAAGGCGTTAGTTTCGGCAGCGGGTTAGTGGGCAGAGAGTGGTATGAGAAGTAGGGGCGGGAGATGGCAGGCGGAGAAGCTATGGAGGGAAAGAAAAAGGCTATACCCCCCTCGACTCTCAGTAGAATCGAGTGTAGAAAATTGGTAGGCAGAGGTTTTAGAGTAGGGCGCATTCGATTTCGGTGTTAGTTTTAGGAGGGAGGTAGAAAAAGGGGTATCTCGCACATCTCCGGATGGATTTGGGTGAGGGAGGAATCAAAATTGGGGTTTGAAGATGAGGCGAGTACGATTTTGAAGTCAGAACCCGTGAAGAGTTAGTAGGTTAGAAGTTAGTAAGAAAAGGTGTTGCGGGAGAGGCATCGGAGGTATGGATATGGTGAAGAGGGAGAGGGCTGCTCTCGATCATGTTTGAGTAGGAATGGGCGGATTGAAAGCTAAAGTAGAGGCTTCAGGCCTGGGCGAATTCAGTTCAGTAGTTAGTTCGAGCAGGAAGTTAGTAGGATTAGACTTAGAGATGGAACGAGCAGCATGGAAGTCATTGCAGGAGTGATAGCGAGGTTAGGAATGAACCTACCCGTACTCTGGCGGTAGGCTCGTTCAGTTTCTCTACTCAGCTCGCACGTGGTCAGGAGCGCACACTGCAGTAGATGTGCTCCCCCTATAGAGAACCAGCCGAGATTACTGGGATTACGAGGAGGGGGCGCGACTGAAATTACGAGGAGGGAGGACGACTAAGATAGCGAAGACGAAGCGACCGAGATAGTGATGAGGACAACGATACTTACCTGGGATGCATGTGATCGAGGATATACGTATACTTCCATGTCCAAGCGGAAGATTCATTCTCATCGGGCACACCCTTACGAGAGGGGTATCGTGATCAACCTCAACATGGTGCTGATTATTATGGCCGCCTCGATCGTGATGGTATTGGCCATCATGCTCTAGTCGGTGTTCGTCATGTCCTCCATGACCCTCTTCACCCGTAGCAGTCGTGTCTCGTCGTGGCTATCCCAGTGAGATATGTTGTGAGCCTAGTCTGATTGTCGACCAGGTGGGAACAGACAGAGAAAAAGGGTGGGAGCTTACCTGCCTGTGACGTTCGTTTTCGACTGACGAGCGACTCCCCTTTGGTTGACTGATAGAGTTGTCGGGAGTGTGGGTGTGGCAGATGCAGGCGAATTGGAGGAAGGATAAGAGAGAGATGGGGAAAGGTGGTGATGGATGTTTGACGGAGTGACCCCTTGGCTCTATGTGGGTGGTGGGAACCAACAGTCCGTGGGGTTCAATCGTGACGAGAGTAGGTCGCACGTTGCTTGTTGAGTGTTGGATGCGTGGGCGTTTACTGTGGTCTTGCTGGAGTCATCTCGTACTTCACCCCGGGGTTTCTGTACTTTATCTCGCGAGCATGGCAGGGCAGAAATGAGAAGGGGAGGGGACAAAGCAACTACCGGCAGGGCGTAATAACGAAGTTACGGAGTGGTCGCTGCTGCTGTAGGGGAGGCTATCACGACGACTTAGGAGGCCGTCATAAAGGTTTGACTTAGGCGGCTAAGTTCAATCTGACCAGGCTGCTGCTGCGTCTGTGCACGAACTGCTGTTGCTGGTTGCTGCATATTGCTGTATACTGCCGCTGACTGTTACAGGCTGCTGTGCATCGGCGTTCGGGCTAAGAAAAGGTGTGGGGATTCAGAGCAGTGACTGAGCTCGAGAAGGGAGTTAAGTGCTGTGATTTGGGAGGTCAACAGGGGGTTGATTTTGACAGTTTGACTTCAGAAGTTGACCAAGCTACTACTATTTGACCATTATTGCGGGGCCCTCAGGAGATTGAAGATAATAAGGCCCTCTC